CCAAAGCTTGCACCACCCCCCGTTGGCCCCTTCAGGCTTGGGATGATGTACTTCGGCTTGCAAGCGACCCCTTTTTTCCTCCAAACATAACGATGGTCATTATGGCCTAACAGTTCTATTTTTATTTCATCAGACCAGAGGACATTTCTCCAAAAAGTACGATCTTTGTCCCCATGTGCAGTTGCAAACCGTAGTCTGGCTTTTTTACGGCGGTTTTGGAGCAGTGGCTTCTTCCTTGCTGAGCGGCCTTTCAGGTTATGTCGATATCGGACTCCTTTTACTGTGGATATATGTCACGCCCTGGCTCTGGGACTCTGTTATGTTGAGCCAGGGTGTGTTGTTTCTTTGTGTTTTGTGTGCTAGGGTGATAGTCTAGTTTTGTATTTCTATGTTGGCCAGGGTGGCTCCCAATCAGAGACGGCTGTAGCTCGTTATCTCTGATTGGGAGCCATACTTAGGTAGCCGTTTGGCATTCATTTGGTGTGGTTTCTTGTTCCAGTGTGGTTTGTGTTAGACCGAGGACGTCACGTTATCGTTTGTTGTTTTGTTTGTGTAATCATTAAATAAAAAGTATGTTCGCCTTCAACGCTGCGCCTTGGTCCTCTGTATCCGACGATCGTGACAGAAGATCCCACCAAGACTGGACCAAGCAGCGTGTCCAGGAGCCATCGCCAGGGAGATCTCTAGCGGATCTCCTTCGCCTCCTCGACTGGGTCAAGCCTGTGTGAGGAAGAGAGAGGCTGGACCTGGAAGCAGAAGGGCGAAAGTCTGGCGAGAGACATGGAGACCTGGTCCACGGGTAGGAGAGACGGCCAGACATTTTTTAGGGGGGGGCTCACGCCGTGGACGACGGGGCAGCAGGAGGCCGCCAGGTTACGGGAGTCACTGGTCACCAGGGGGAAAGAGGATGTAGAGGCACGGCGAGAGGTACTGGGGTGTGTTGCCAGTCCGGTCCGGCCTGTTCCTGATCCCCGCGTAGGGCCAGTGGTGTGCGTTCCCAGTACAGTCCGGCCCGCTCCTGCTCCCCGCACCAAGTCAGTGGTGCGTTTCGTCAGCCCGGTCCGGCCCGCTCCTGCTCCCCGCACCAAGTCAGTGGTGCGTTTCGTCAGCCCAGCTCGGCCCGCTCCTGCTCCCCGCACCAAGTCAATGGTGCGCTTCGTCAGCCCGGTCCGGCCCGCTCCTGCTCCCTGCACTAAGTCAGTGGTGCGCTTCGTCAGCCCAGCTCGGCCCGCTCCTGCTTCCCGCACCAAGTCAGTGGTGCGCTTCGTCAGCCCGGCTCGGCCCGTTCCTGCTCCCCGCACCAAGTCAGTGGTGCGCTTCGTCAGCCCGGTCCTGCCCGCTCCTGCTCCCCGCACCAAGTCAGGGGTCCGTTTCGTCAGCCCGGCTCGGCCCGTTCCTGCTCCCCACACCAAGCCAGTGGTGTGCGTCGTCAGTCCGGCACAGCCCGTGCCTGTTCCACCGGTGCCTGGTTCGGCACGGGTCAGCTGCTTCACGCCGGAGCTAGAGCAATCCGCTCCACCAGTGTGCAGTCCAGCTCCGGTCAGCAGGGCCAGACCGGACCAGGGGTACTTTGGGGGGTTAGAGAGGGAGTGGGGATCATGCCCGGAGCCGGATCCGCCTCCGAGGAGGAATGCCCACCCGGCCCTCCCCTGTTCGGTTTATGTTTGGCGCGGTCGCAGTCCGCACCTT